CGCCGCCCGCCGCCATCTTGTGCCGCCAGCGGCGGGGAGGGCGGCGGGGGGGGAGGGCGCCCCCTGGCGACGCCGCTCTCTGAGGGGACCCGGGCTCTGCGGCGGTGGGACGGGGGGTAGCGAGCAGAGCAGCGATGGGCCCCGCGTTCAATCTCCTTTTAAAAGACGGTTGTGGGGGAGAATAGCCGTCACTAGAGGAGGCTCCAAAACTCCGCACTTTAAAACGAGTTTACGGTAGTATGCGAGATGAATTTTCTTTCTTTCTGCAGGGTACGTGAAAGGAGCCCGGGAAAAGCAGTCCTCAGAACATGAATTACTTGCTCAGTGTGCCCGAGTTGAAAGCTTAAGGAAGGAGCTGTCTTCTCTGACTGAAAAAGTGACACATTCTCTAGCACAGAATGACCCCAAATATTTCGAAGATAAAAATAACTGGTACCTGCGGTGGTGAAGAAAAATAGTTCTTGTTCAAGCTCAAGGTATTTGTATTGCAGTGTTCTGCCCTTACGTTCTTGACCTGTGAAAGAACAAAGATGCTAAAGTTAACTAAACAGTTTACTTAGAGTGAGGGGCAACATCTGGTATCCATCCTGAGTGGGCTTAGGCAAGAAGGACTCTTCAGAGTGAAGAATCTGCTGCCGATTTTTTGGGTGGCCTGGAGAAATGCACTGAGGGCAGGTGTACACAGCACAGATATTTAAGTCCGAAAGCCACAGAGAGGCAAGATCAGCTTAGGGCTTGCTCACACCTTTGCATCATGTGCCTAGTGCTTGTTTTCAAGTCACTGGAACTAAATCCATGGTCCCTTCCATAGCTGCCCTCTTTGGTCCCTCCAAGCTGTCTAGTGGCTGGCAGTGAAGTTGCAGTGATGCATTTGGCCAGTATCTGTTGAGAGACAAAAATGATTTTTTCTGGCATATAGGTTATTTGCAAATGACATCCTGTCATTCTGTGGCACTACCATTAACCTTAAAGGGACTCTTTTTCTTCTGTCATTTTGGGCAGAAATAAAGTGCCTTATTCTGTGGTAGCTTAGCCTCAAAAGAAATAGCTAAATGGATGTTTCTTCAGAATAGCTGCATGCACATGCATGTGAGTGTACCTTTGGGTGTACACAGACACTCAAGAAATCAAGCAGGACCTGAGAACTCCCTCTGCTGCATCATTAATTACAGGCTTTCTTCTTTGATTTGCTTTCAGAATTTGAGGAAGAAGAGGCTGAGAAAAAGGGACACAGGAAAGGGAAATGAACCTAGCCTCTGCCATATGACAGGTTTCTCTGAACACTGTTCCTAAGCTAGGTTTAGCCAGAGCAAAGAGCCTGTAGTTCCTTGATTCTGCTTGCAAATATCCTGAACTGTGGCAATACACCTCAGATAGCTAGGAACATATTTGTAATTTTACTGGTCGTGTTTTCCCCAACTTCTCAAATTAATTTTAGGGCCACTCCTTTCCCTCCTGACTAATACCAATATTTGATCTGTGTACTTCATCCCAAAAATCCGTAGAACAGACATTCCAGTTGCAAAGGATAACATGCACATTATTCACATGACACATTACCAGTAACCAACAGTATGATACTTACACCCAGTTAGTTCTTAGGCATCAGGCAGCTTACATGCTTATTGGGACAACTCTATGTGTTGAGAGCCAAACAAGCCTACTGAAAATACTATTTCATATATTGTTAGACTTGAAACAGATTGATGATGAGGGTCCCTGCTTGCTGCGTAGGCATACCAGATACTGATGTTCTTTTCCATTCCCTCCAGGCTTGTTTAGAAGGATACATTATATTTGTGGGGAGCCTATGGTCCATGAAGATGCATCCTGCTAAAAAATAATGTTATTAGATTGACTTACTGCAGAGTATTTGAATCCAGTGTAAGATTTTTTGATTGCAATTCACAGCTCTCAGATCCTTTCTTCCCTACTCCAGATTGGAGGAAAAGAAAAAGTCTAATAAAATGCCGTGCAATACTCAGTTCTCTTTTCTGTATCTAGAGAAGATGCTCCAATCACCTGTTCTTGAGTATTACAAGAGTATTTTCTGTGCTAGCATGACGAAAATAAGTTTGGAGATTGAAAGCAATGGATTCAAGTTTTCTTCTCGAGACATCTTCATGGGAAACAGTATAGAATCATAGAATCAGTTAGGTTGGAAAAGACCTTTAAGATCATCGAGTCCAACCATTATCTATTCTCAGTTAACCAAATGAGAATATATGTATGTTATCTATTCTCAGTTAACCAATGATGTGGTAAACATTATTGTGAAATAAAAGCAAAGCTTTTTCTTTAGCAGCAGTGAATCACCTACCAAAATATAAACTTGTTATGTTAAAGTAATGAGTTATACAACATTTGAAACATCAGCATCAGTTAATTTATCTCAAATCTTAGAGCCTCAGTCTTTATCTTTAAGCAAGATGTATAAAGTTTATGATTGTTACATACATTAGCTATACTGTAAGGGCCATCATTTCCAAACCTGGAATTTATTTGCCTAAATCTGTTAAAATAGATTGCTATGATTAATGTGGTATGATTTTGATTAAGCTTTATGAGCTTTTTTTTTTTTTCCTGGAGATTAAGCATATAAAGCAGTAATGTAAAAAAAAAAAAGCTGTGTTTTTCTGTCTAATTTTGTTCCCCTTGGTTATGTTGCGTGACACATCTGGAACTCAGATGATGGCTGGAGAAGGTTCTCACTTGGCAGAAGCCTAAGGAAGGATGCTTTGGAGAACCTAGTGAGTAAGCCTTACCTCACAGGAATAAGGTGTTGTGATACCTTGTCTAAACATATAAGATACAGACTGCAAATCAAAGGGCTGTTTTACAGCATTTCTGTCAAGTCTTATTGAAAACTCCAATTCAAAAGGTGCCCCATGTCTCCACTGGAAAAGGAACAATCATTAATGTTTTTCACATCCAGAATCTTTCACAAAAGCTACATGACCTTCAGCACATAGAACGTGCCTGGTCCTATAGATTGGTGGAACCTTAGCCCATCTATAATAAGTTTCCTCACTTGAAGTCTGTTTCAATCAGCTGTAAGACAAGGCTATCTCCTCTGCTTCAAGAAAGCTGAAACTTCAGAGAGAGAGGTGTTAACAAGAGTCTTCACTGGGAATGAAAGTGCCCTCAGCATTGTGGAGCAATCCATTTCCCTTTATGTCTTCTTTTTTTGCTCCAGGTAAAGGTTTTGAACACACCTCTGGAGTAGCAGACCAAAAGCAGCTGCTGAGGAGAGGTAAGAGAAAGGAAAAGTTGTTTGCAGGTGAAAATAATTTATGTATTTAAAGGAAGGTGTATCTTTTAGAAAGCTTTGTTCCAGTTACTGCTGAACAACTATGCATAAATTATTCAATAATATAAATCAAGGCAGTTGTTTCCATGGGAATTCTAACTTCCCTTTCTTACACATAGGAGTGGCTTTCCGCTAAGAATGTTTGCAGAAAGAAGGCATCACAAATGCTTGCATGAATAAGAAAAGTTTTCCTGAAATAGTCCCCAAGATTTTTGTCAGGGAGGAATCCTTTTATTAAAAGACAGTTTGGAGACAGATCTCACAGCATGAATGCAGAATGAGAACCCCAATCTGCACCCGTACTGAATAAGCCACTATAATCACAGCCTGAAACAGGTTTGGAAAAACCACTGAATAACAAAGGGAGCAGCCAGAGCCAGCTGTGTCCTAAGAGAAGACAGACCAAGGGTGACCACAGCACAGGCCAGGCAATGGTCTCACCATCAGGGCACAGTCCGACAGCAACCCCAGCTGGGTGATGACAGCAACAGGTCCTATTGCCAGTCCATTGATTATCAGACAAAAGCAAGGTCATGAGGCCAAGATCAAGCCACTAAATCTAAGCAACAATTTAGGAACCAGCCTGGAAACAGGTACATCTACAACATAGCTCATGGAAGAATTGAAGGCCAGGCCTGAGCTTAAATGAGCCTTCTGGGCCCATGGGCAGAAGGTGTGGATGGAGGCCCCAGGTGGGTCTGCTCGGGGCAATTAGGGCCTGCTGCTGCACTCAGGGCCCTGACAAACTAGTACTGGGAAACACGGAGTCCATTTGCAGGTGGCTTGTCAGCAAAGGTGGCCAAATTTCACTTTCACCAGCCATATGATCATTTTACCATGTATCAATATAGGTTAAAAAAAAAAAAAAAAAGGTGGTCCTGGAAGACACAATGGATACAGCATTTGTAAGATAAACCACCTGAACACATGCTAGGTTATCTAAGGCCAGCTGCTTAACTTAGAGAGCTAATGTTCATCATCATCCATAAAATGAGTCAAATATCTCTCTGAGTTATACTGCGGGATGCCCAGCACTAGGAAATTCAGAAATCTTAAAATTATTTTACATTTTCAACTCATGTGGAAACTCCAGTATTTATCTGTCTGTCCATGTTTCTGATCTTTGGAACTACAGAAGTCCTGCACATAACAGATGTCAACTGAAGCTATTCATACTGTGATACAAATTCATATCATGAAATAAAATGTTTTTCATTATATAAAGGATAGGTTCTTTTCTTCAGTGGCTATCACAGCGAAGACTGACAATATCCCCGCTAGGTAAAAAAATAGGGCTACACTTATCTCAGCAGCTGGGTATGGTAGAGCACAGAAAGTATTTTATCCAAGGTCAAAGGCTGAGCTCAGGGTCACACATAATTCATGGGGCAGAGATGGCTATAAAGTCCAACTGAAGTTCTAACTTGCAGTTCAGTTTTACCATTTGATCTCCCTGACTAAATTGTACTCTAGGCTTCCAAATGCACATGGTTTTAAAATCGGTACAGATCATCACCTATGCAAGCCATGTAACCTCATTCAATAATGAGGACAGTTGACAGTTGCAGACTGTCAATGGGGAATGACGCTTGCACAGAGAGGTGACGGGTCCTTGAGCAATACCAGTGCTCCTTCCACAGTGAAATAGGATTAGACATTTTAAATCACAATCTTGTCTTGCAAAACAAAGAGGAGTTCCACCTTGGCAGCTAGTTTTTAATTATAGCAATACTGGACAGTCGTCCACAATGTGGTTTTTCCTGGTAACTTTTAGAGTATCCCAGAGAGTCGGGGATGATTTCAGTGCAGCCCCATTACCACTGAATGCATACATTTTTCTTTAGCTCAGATTCTACCAAATTCTAAAGAGATCTTCAACTTCACTGGATCTAAATTAATATCCTGGATATTTCTGTGATATCTCTCAATTTTCTGTCTCTAGTCCTGATCCTACGAGGTTCTAAATACCTTCACCATCTGCATTCCGCTGGGTTCTAATACATGTATGTAATAAACAATTTTGAGCTGTTTTTAGTTTGATGATCCCTGTTTTCTGGTGGAAATGCAGATGCCAAGAGCAAATAGAAGCCTCCTGACAGAAACATTTGCCACATTATCTTGCCTAGGCCCTGTGAAAGTAACTGAACCCCACAGTGAAAAATCATTAAGTTAGAGCCTTGTGCAAGAGTTTAATACTAGATTAGAGGTACTGACCAGGAATCAAATAAGATGTGTCACACAATGCAGAGAACAAATGGTATTTCTTCACTATGAATAGGAATAAAGACACAAATAAAGGGTGCTGTTCTGTAGACCCTAATGGCCACCCAGCCTGAATGGTATGCTGGTTATGTTTCTTTTACCCCTATAACAAAAACAGATATCAGATTTTTCATTTCCCTTGTAATTCTCCATATTGTCTACCAGCATGTAGTCAATTAAACCACTGTTTCCTCTTAAAGCACGTGACTAATTACAAGTGTGGGCAGACTGGTTCAACGAGATAATAAAGCCTGGAATATTTGCTCAAAAATCCTGTTCAGAATGCATCTTTTTCTAACTAGGAAAGCAGCCAAGGTGTCTTCAAAAAAAAGCCCCGCTGTCCCATGTCCCTAGTGTACTTTTACACATACATCCCTGGCATGGCAGTCACACATCCATACCAACCTGCAGGAGATCTGTTCTTTTGGTAATCTCTCATTTCATTCTCACCTAGCTCATCTGACAGCTACTTGCTGCGTATCACTTTAATATGAAATGCAAATTGCTTTTCTTATTTACTTCCTTGAATAGAGTGCAAATATCACATCCTGTGATGGAATGAGTGACTGACTGATTCCTGCAGGCATATACCCGCATTTTCTGGTAGGTTATCAAACTACTTAAAATTACAAGCTTTATATTAGCTTTATAGATACAGTGACTTGAGTTTATAAAGGTAGAGTCGCAATAAATGTTCTTTTGCCTATCTAGTCTTCAGAGTACTTAGTTGGAGAAAGATAAATATGGTGTAGTCATCGCTTACATCTGAGGTTCTGAAAATAGGGAGAGATGAATGCATCTATGAGAAATGCATTTTGTGAGAGAACTTCCTTCTGCTTGTAAAATTTTTCATATTTATTCAATAACAATTATGCTTTTAAAGGCTCTTCCCCTCTTTTCTTCCTGTGACATTTCAGAAAGTTTGGAAATGCTGTTTGCAGTTTATTCTGGAAATGGTCTACTTATGCTCAGTGAGTCAAAAATCTAGACCCAGCACCGGTTTCCTAAGACTGCTTGGCTTAAATTGTCAATTTGTATGCATCCCAGCAATATTTGCTCTCAAGAGCAGCACTGAGTTAGCAGATTTTTGTTCCAAGACACTTTTGGTTTTAATTCCTTTGTCATCCCTGTTAATATCTCAGGATGTTTGCCAAAACAGACTAACCAGTTAGCCATTATGTTATTCATTGGGTTACACTGCAGAGCACTTAAAAAACCCAAAGTGCTACACAGCTTTTGAGTCATGTCTGTTCCTGTGAACATCACCAAACGTGTTCTCCCTGACAGATATACACTACATACGCGTGTAGGCACTTAGGATCCATCTCGTCTTCCTACCCTTGACAGATTGCTGCAAGTGCAATAAATAGACAGACAGAAGCCTAAATCCTTCTGACTAGTTGAACTTCACTAATCCCAGAAGTCACCAACCCAAGTGTCTCAAGCTAACCTCACAAGAACCAGCTGCTACCTTGGCTACTCTTATTGCCACATAATATACGTAGTACAAACCTTTTAAAAATTGTATTACTTTTTTTTTTCATTTGCACTGAAAAAATTAACATGGAATATCTCCGTAATAAATATTTGCACCCATCACACCTGCACTGTGGGGGAATGGACTAACAGTAGTCATAAACCCCATGTGACTTCAAAGGGTTCAGACTGCTGAAGCTGTGCTATATCGTCAGATGATAAATTATTGCCATTTTTAATAGCAAGGTAATTTGCTTCTTGTGTTTGTTCTCCTGTTTGCTTCATTTCTAAAGTGCAACCCCTGCTACAGTGGAGATGAAAGGAGTCAGTCACAGAATGAGCTCAATTTGGAAGCAATTCTAGGTAGCCTGAAATGCTACTGCAGGTAGCCTAGTGCTGAGCCCTCAGCCTGTTATGATGCTGCTGAGAATCACCTGTGCTTTGCTCTCTGCACTGAAGATGAAAAGACTAGGGTGTTTCAAAGGTAGGACTCCCTGGCTCCAAGCTAAGCGTTCCTCTAAAGACCACCATGCTCTAAAATATAAAATTAATTTTATTCTGTTTAGTACATGCTGTGATGTGAACTGTACACCTGCCTAACCTCATCTAATGTGAGCCGCTCTCCCCTTTATGCTAAGACTACAGCTAGCACTGGATAGAACCATAGCACATAATTTTTTCACCAAGCTTTCCACCCTCAGTCTTCCTTTCTGAAGGGAGAATGGCATGGAAAGACCCTTTTAAAAATGCTTCTTTTTCCACCCATAGCACCCTCTACCACTCCAAACTCTGTACACTTCTTTCAAATGCTGCCTTTTAATCTCACTAGCTGCTTTTTATCTGCTTTATTCCTTTTCTTCCCACCCAAAACCCCCTAAGGAAAGTATGAAGGCAAAAAGAAGTGACCTAGTTAGAGGAAATTTTTACACACCTTCCCAAAGAGAGTCTCTCCTGACTGATTTGTATTGGCTTAGACATATTTTCAGACAAATACAGGTATACATTATAGAAATAAATTTTGTACTTCCAGCTGGTTCTACAGATACAGACATAGAAGAGGAAGAAGGCCAGTAAGCTAATCAGAAAGAGAAGAGCCAGTATGTATGGCTTATAAGATTCCCAGTGAGTTCCCATAGGCCAATTCAAATTAGTAATTATTAGACATGTTTTTCCACAACTAAAAATTTTCAAATTACAGGAAAAGGGTCAAACACCTGTTAATTATGTTCACGCCCTAATTTTCAGGGCTGGGCTGAACTCTAGGTTCAAGACAGAGATGGAGCTAGTATTAGATCTAGACATCAGCATGCACGTTCCTTTCATGATATTCACTGTGGTAACAGAAAAAAAAAATGGCAAGCTTGGCTGACCTCCACTGGGTGGAGAAAACAGAAATATACTGATTTAGAACCTGACTTACTTAGACTAAAACCTAATTTAGTTTTGGAGCTGTGTCTTCATACCAAAGCCCAGGACAGCTTAGCTTCTGAGATTCATTCAGTCCAGCGTGGTCATAAGGTGGTTTGCCAGCACCTGCACACACATATACTTTAGAATCTGTATTTTGGGGAGGTGTGTTTGTGACATGCTTGAAATTGAGACTGGTTGTCTTTAACAACAGGTAGTTATCTCCATTAATGGGGAAATCTTGTGTCACCACAAACACACACTGAAATTCTGACAATGCCCACCCTTCCCTCTTTGAAAAGTTGTAGAAAAACTTATATTCCATGCAGTACTTAATATTAGTGCAGTGGGAGGGGCTGCTTTAGAGAGGAAAGTAAATTGCAAAGTAAATGCCCTGTATGGAGAGGAAAGACTATTCAGTTTTCAAATACTGTTTTGTTTTGGATTTTTTTTTCATTCCAGTTTGCATGAGGTTTCTGTTCCCTATGGATTTCTAAAGGTAGCTTTTGGCCTGTGGATTCTACACCCCACATTGTGATCCAGGCCTCTCTTGTAAGCTACAGAAAAGACAGGGCGAGTTTGGGAACTGGGTGGAAGCCTTCTGCTTAAGCCCTTAGTACAGGATGTTCCCTGCAAAAAGTTTAAGGCATTTGAGCAAAAGACAAAGCAGGATCCTGAATGGACTCCCAGAGTACTCTGCTTGCTGAGTTTAGACCATTAAAACCATATGGTTAGTCCACACTGGAGTTTCAACTGGATAGTCTTGTTTCCAGCTCGAAACAGAAGCAGGACACATGCAGGTCTCCACTGCTGAATGAAAGTGGAGGCATAATAAGCCATTTGCTAAGATCTTTAAATGCACTGGTTTGTGCTAAGGGAGTTTTCCAGTTCATTTCTGAAATAAAAGTACATTTTTCCACTTGCAAGGTACCTAAGACAGCAGCACACTTACATATACCAGGTACACTTACCCTGGGAGTGAGGCATTACCCCCCTGCTTTAGCACTGGCCATGGAAAGACCAGCTTCTGCAATACAGCCTCGGGCATGGGGCTCCACAGCCCCACTCCCCCATTCACACAGGGGTGATACCTGCCCTTGTATCACATCATTTACAGAAGCAAATGCCTGAAAATAAGGAGACAGCTAACTGAGCTCATCATCAGTCTCATGCAGGCTGAACAGACGTAAACACACATCAGGCAAATGTAATGAACCGTTCCACAGTGTGAACGGGGCTTTCCCAATGCTTCCTCTGTGAATTCCCCTCTCCCCCACTCACCAAGTAGCTCAAGGAAATTGTGCGCAATGCAGCCCAGCAGTAGGCTTGATTTTTTTGCAATAAAAATATGAAACTTCTCTATCAAGCGACATTTGCACACAGGGGAAAAAAAAGAAAGAGTTTAATTGCATCCCCCATCCTAAGAGGACAGGAGCATCTGCTGCCAGGCAGCAGCAGCAGGCCTGCCCTCTGCTTTCACAGATGTCAAAGTCCGTGCCAGAGCCATGTCTCCAGGGGCAACAGAGGCTTGGATTTTAAGATTAGCCCCACCAGCATGGGAGCAGACTGCACGCCTAAAAGATGTATTTTATTCCCAATATAAACATTTTGAAATTTCATTTGCAATATAATGACATACAGGCAATATTTTCCTCAGTGATGGGTATGGCTCAGAACAGAGCAATGAAACACTGAAACAACGTCCTGAAGTTAGCATTTACACTCCCCCCAGCAACTAGCCCCTAAACCGTGGCAAAACCCCTCCAATTAATTTCCTCTGCTATTTAACCTGTTAGAATTTAGTAGAAAACTGAGGGGTGCCTGCTTTTACTGTTGCTCTTTGAGTGGTTATGGCTTTCCAAACAGTCTCTTTTGTTTGGTCAGTTCTAGAGCTGCAAATGGGCTGCAAGCGCCAAGAGCGAGCTACTGCAGTCTAGAGAAAGAAATACGAAACTTAAGAAGTGCTTGGAGCAGTCAGTATGGCTGGAGGAAGTGACAGGACTAAGCACTTGATGAAGCACAGTGAATAAAGCAGGTGCCCTTACCACTGTTAACAAAATAGTTCTTTGATTCAAAATAGAACTACAGAGATTAGAAAGAGAAACGTTTTTACTGAAAACGAGGGGTCTGGCATATAGTTCCTGGTTAGAAAAAACAACTACCGTACAGGCAGATAGAGGAACGGAGGATTTGCTTTTTTTAATCATGTATTTGACTCGGATATTTCTTGAAAGCAAAAATTTCCAGATTTGTAAACTAAGGCTCTCTGAGAGTTTTCGTCCTAACTGTTAGCCAAGGGGTATCACAGAATCCAAGCCACTGAAGCTACCGTTAGGAAATCCTGGAACTGACTAAATAGATTTTCACCCCCCCGTCGCCACCCCCCCCAATTTAGTTATTTTTCACTTCTGGAAAATGGACAAAATCCTAATCCTCCAAATGAAGATGATGAAGCTGCAGTGGCTGTAAAGGCCGTATTTACGTCCCTGTCTGTGAGAATCTGCCAGAGATGGTGATGGGAAAACGCCAGACTGAAGACCGGAGAGCACGTCCTCCCTGAGGCTAAAGCCAGCTCAGACACCTCGACGTCAACCGTACGGGGACAGGCCACAGCTTATTATCGAAACAACAGACTTCAAAAGTATTTCTTTCCATCTTCCTAGTCGTAAATGTCTCCTCAGCTCACGGGGCTGAGCCCAGACAGCACCCACGGCACCCACCGGGGGCCGGGCGCGGCGGGCACCTCCCGGCA